TTTTGCCCCAAGACGCTCCCAGGAGGCCCCAAGAGCCCCCCAAGAAGCCCCAAGAGGCCCCCAGGCGTCCCAAGAGGCCACCGGGAGACCAAAATCATTGAGTTCCGATGGGAAGAAGGTCAATTTTTGGCATGCACGGCTTTTCGGCTTTCATGGCGTTGAAGACCGTCAAAGAGGCCCCGAAGACCGCCCCGAGACGGCCCAAGAGGCTCCCAAGAGGCCCCCAAGAGGGCGCCAAGACGGCCCAAGAGGCGCCCAAGACGGCCCAAGAGGGCCCCAAGACGGCCCCAAGAAGGAGGCCCACGAACCGAAAAGTCGTGCTTTTCGCCCCAAGAAACTCCCAGGAGGCCCCACGAGCCCACCCAGAAGCCCCAAGAGGGAGGTTCCCAAGAGGCCCCCAAAAGGGCTCCCAAAGAGCCCACATGGGACTCCCAAGAAGGCCCAGAGACGCCGAATTATCCCGGCAAAGCAACCTAACATCAATGTGTAGGAGCATATCTGGAAGCATTCCCCTTAAGATTAGGATGAGAATCCAGTTGTAGAATTCTGCTGTTCTCGCAGTCGTAGTCGCATTCGCGATGACAGTCGCAGTGGCAACGGCAGTCGCAGTCACAGCCTCAGCCTCAGCCTGCCTCAGCCTCAGCCTCAGCCTGCCTCAGCCTCAGCCTGCCTCAGCCTCAGCCTCAGCCTGCTTCAGCCTCAGCCTCAGTCTGCCTTCAGCCTCGGCCTCAGCCTCAGCCTGCCTCAGCCTCAGCCTGCATCAGCCTCAGCCTCAGCCTCAGCCTGCCTCAGCCTCAGCCTGCCTCAGCCTCAGCCTCAGCCTCAGCCTGCCTCAGCCTCAGCCTCAGCCTGCCTTCAGCCTCAGCCTCAGTCTGCCTGCAGCCTCGGCCTCGGCCTCAGCCTGCCTCAGCCTCAGCCTGCCTCAGCCTCAGCCTCCGCCTGCCTCAGCCTCAGCCTCAGCCTCCTGCCTTCAGCCTCAGCCTCAGCCTCTGCCTTCAGCCTCCGCCTCAGCCTCAGCCTGCCGCAGCCTCAGCCTGCATCAGCCTCAGCCTTAGCCTCAGCCTGCCTCAGCCTCAGCCTGCTCAGCCTCAGCCTGCCTCAGCCTCAGCCTCAGCCTGCCTCAGCATCAGCCTCAGTCTGCCTTCAGCCTCGGCCTCAGCCTCCGCCTGCCTCAGCCTCAGCCTGCATGAGCCTCAGCCTCAGCCTCAGCCTGCCTCAGCCTCAGCCTGCCTCAGCCTCAGCCTCAGCCTGCCTCGGCCTCAGCCTCAGCCTGCTTCAGCCTCAGCCTCAGTCTGCCTTCAGCCTCGGCCTCAGCCTCAGCCTGCCTCAGCCTCAGCCTGCATCAGCCTCAGCCTCAGCCTCAGCCTGCCTCAGCATCAGCCTGCCTCAGCCTCAGCCTCAGCCTGCCTCAGCCTCAGCCTGCCTGCCTTCAGCCTCAGCCTGCCTCAGCCTCAGCCTGCATCAGCCTCAGCCTCAGCCTCAGCCTGCCTCAGCCTCAGCCTGCAGCCTCAGCCTCAGCCTGCCTCAGCCTCAGCCTCAGCCTCAGCCTCAGCCTCAGCCTCAGCCTCAGCCTCAGCCTGCATCAGCCTCAGCCTCAGCCTCAGCCTCAGCCTCAGCCTGCAGCCTCAGCCTGCCTCAGCCTCAGCCTCAGCCTCAGCCTCAGCCTGCTTCAGCCTCAGCCTCAGTCTGCCTTCAGCCTCGGCCTCAGCCTCAGCCTGCCTCAGCCTCAGCCTGCATCAGCCTCAGCCTCAGCCTCAGCCTCAGCCTCAGCCTGCCTCAGCCTCAGCCTCAGCCTGCCTCAGCCTCAGCCTCAGCCTCAGCCTCAGCCTGCTTCAGCCAAAGCCTCAGTCTGCCTTGAGCCTTGGCCTCAGCCTCAGCCTCAGCCTGCCTCAGCCTCAGCCTGCATCAGCCTCAGCCTCAGCCTCAGCCTGCCTCAGCATCAGCCTGCCTCAGCCTCAGCCTCAGCCTGCCTCAGCCTCAGCCTCAGCCTGCTTCAGCCTCAGCCTCAGTCTGCCTTCAGCCTCGGCCTCAGCCTCAGCCTGCCTCAGCCTCAGCCTGCCTCAGCCTCAGCCTCAGCCTGCCTCAGCATTCAAAATGTGGCCCGGGAATGGAATTCTGGGAAACTCGAAGAACACGAAGTGGCCTACAGTTGGCTCCGGGCATTCAAAATCATGCCCAGGAATGGAATTCTGGGAACTCGAAGATCACGAAGTGGCCTACACTTGGCTCGGGGCATTCAAAATGTGGCCCGGGAATGGAGTTCTGGGAACTCGAAACGAAGTGGCCTACAGTTGGCTCCGGCATCCAAAATGTGGCCCGGGAATGGAGTTCTGGGAACTCGAAGAGCACGAAGTGGCCTACAGTTGGCTCCGGGCATCCAAAATGTGGCCCGGGAATGGAGTTCTGGGAAGTCGAAGAGCACGAAGTGGCGTACAGTTGGCTCCGGGCATTCAGAATGTGGCCCGGGAATGGAGTTCTGGGAAATCGAAAAGCACGAAGTGTGTGACTGTATGCGAAAAACGATCCCCCCCGGCAAACCCCAACGGCCCCCCAACGGCCCCCAACGGCTCCCCAACGGCTGCCCAGACCCCCCTGTGGAGTAATGTGCTGCTCTCTTTTCACACGACTAGAAACCTATCAGTCTTCGCTGTTAGGCAATAAAGAGCGATCGGTAACGCAAAAAGCTCTTCACACCAAGGCTCCCAAGAGCGAACGGTGACGTAAACAAGCTGAAACGACCAAGGCTCCCAGCAGAGCGCGGTGACGAAACAAGTTCCTGACACCAAGGCGCAGCCAAGGCTCAGGAACGGGCGGCAAAGCAACAATCTCTGAACACCAAGGCTCCCAAGAGCGAGGGGTGACGTAACAAGCTCTCAACGCCAAGGCTCCCAGTACGAACGGTGGTGTGAATAGTTTCGATTTCTGTTTCTGCAGCGCTCTTTCCGTGCCGGCCCAGGTAACGGAAAGAGCGAGGTACGAGTGATGACGTTCTAGTGTGGGGCGAAGCCCTTAAGGGAGGGGTCCAGGCGAGGGGCGAGGCCCGGATGCAGGGTTGCTAATGGCCATGTTCGGGTTTTTCCTGAGGTCTTTGTATGTTTTTTTGGGGGGGTCCGTCCCAGAAGAGCCCAAGACCGCCCAAGAAAGCCCCAAGACGTCCCAAGAGACCTCCCAGACACCCCAAGAGGCGCCCAAGAGGCGTCCCAAGAGGGCCCCATGAGGCCAAACTCATTAATTTTCCATAAGAAAGCGTACATGTTTACCATCTACGGCTTTTCGGCGTTCATGGCGTTGAAGACGGTCCAAGAAGCCCCAAAGACCCCCCTAAGACGGCCAAGGAGGCCCCCAAGAGGCCCCCCAAACGGCCCAAGCGGACGCCAAGACGGCCCCAGAGGCGCCCAAGACAGCCAAAACAGGGCCCAAGACGGCTCCAAGAGGGGAATCACGGACCGAAAAGTCTAGCCTTTCGCCCCAACGCGCTCCCAGGAGGCCCCAAGGGCCCCCCCAGAAGCCCCAAGAGGCCCCCAAGAGACGCACCACGAGGTCACCAGGAGGCCAAAACGATTTTCTATAGAAAAGCGTACATGTTTAGCATATGCGGCTTTTCTGCTTTCACGGCGTTGAAGGCGGCCCAAGAGACCCCCAAGGTCGCCCCAAGACGGCCCAAGAGGCTCCCAGGAGGTCCTCAAAACGGCCCAAGAGGCCCCCAAGACGGCCCAAGAGGCGCCCACGACGGCCCAAGAGGGCCCCAAGACGGCCCCACGAGGGGGACCACGAATTGAATAGCCTAGCCTTTCGCCCCAAGAACCTCCCAGGAGGCCCCAAGAGCCCCCCAAGAAGTCCCAAGAGGCCCCCAAGAGGCGTCCCAAGAGGTCCCCAAGAGGCCAAAATCATGGAATTCCTAAGAGGTACAGCGTCCATGCGGGTCAAAACAGCTATGCGGGTTAAGACGGCCATGCGGGTTAAGACGGCCATGCGGGTTCAAACGGCCATGCGGGTTAAAACTGCCATTTGGGTTAAAACGGACATGCGGCTTTAAAGGGCCATGCGGTCTAAAACGGCCATATGGCTTTAAAGGGCCATGCGGGATAAAACAGCCATGCGGTCTAAAATGGCCATGCGCCTTAAAAAGGCCATGCGGGTTAAGACGGCCATGCGGGTTCAAGCGACCATGCGGGTTAAAACGGCCATGCGGGTTAAAACGGCCGTGCGGGTTGAAACGGCCACGCGGGTAAAAAAACGGCCATGCAGGTTAAAACGGCCATGCGAGTTGAAACGTTCATGCGGATAGAAAGAGCCATGCGGGTTGAATCGGCCATGCGGGTTAAACGGCCGTGCTGGTTGAAACGGCCATGCGGGTTAAAACGGCCATGCGGGTTAAAACAGCCATGCGGGTTAAAAGCTGATACGACCAAGGCTCCCAGCAGAGAGCGGTGACGTAACAAGTTCCTGACACCAAGACCCAGCCAAGGCTCAGGAACGGGCGGCAACGCAACAATCTCTGAGCACCAAGGCTCCCAAGAGCGAGGGGTGACGTAACAAGCTCTCAACGCCAAGGCTCCCAGTACGAACGGTGGTGTGAATAGTTTCGATTTCTGTTTCTGCAGCGCTCTTTCCGTTTTTGTGCCGGCCCAGATTTATGTAGTGCGTGAGCTGGGACGTACCGTTTTGACATAACCGAATTGACTTGTAACAGACGGCTGCAAACAGAGCCCAGGGGCACACCCAGACAACTTGCTCCTGAAGTCGCGTGTCTGCCATACCCTTCAAATGACGATGCAACGGGTAGGGTGGTGTCATGCAGAGCACCCGCTTCATCGTGAAATGGAACGAATGAAACATCGAGCCCAATCGTGGTAGAGGGGCACCTCGACAAGCAGCGCGCGCCCGCCGGGCAATGGTAACGACTGCGAGGCCATTGAAGATGATGAGCAAAACACGTCCGTCAGGCATTCTTTGGCCGAGCTCTGTAGCTGCCTTGGGCTCGGACCGCTTCGTTGGGATCTGCATTGAGCCAAAATGGCAACGGAAGCTCTGTTGGGCGGTCTTGGGGGTCTCTTGGGCCGACTTGACGCTGTATTGGGAAATGTCCAGGTCTCTCAGACGCCGCCAAAGGCTTCAGGAGCGCTCCCAGGCCGTCTTGGGAGCGTCCAGGGCCAGCTGGAGGTCCTCGTGGGCTGCTTTGGGCTTCTCGTGGATCCGATCCTGAAATCGTGAGCTGGTCCGCAGGGCGTATGGCAGCCGTCGGGGCCGCAAGGTCCTCCCATCCAGCGCCTCTGACGCGATCCATCCCGATCTACCTCGACTCGCACATGTATGTGTGTATGTATGTATGTTTGCATGTGTATGTAAGTGAGAGAGTAAGTACGCGCGTGAGAAATAGGTAAGCGCATCACCGTGTATGCATATGTGTACGTATGTACGTGTTTGTGCATCTGCGTACGTATGTATGGATGTATGCATGCGCATTTGCATGCATGCATGCATGCATGCATGTATGGATGTACGCATGTCTGTTTGGATGATCGTATATACAAGATGCGTGCGTGCCCAGACTCAAACCAGTCACTGAAACATGCAAACATCGCAAAATGGGACAGAAGAGTGACATGAAGTCCCATCCGAGGAATCTGAGGAGAGGACGGGAAGAAAAGGAAAGAGGATGACGAAAGGATGGTACAAAGGATCACCTGATGGCCGTTGGGAATGAGGTGCATTGGCGGGATCGCAGTCGAGCGAATGTGGGGTTGCATAACCTTTCGATAAGTGTGACACAAAAAGGACAATACATATCTTGCGACTGCAGTTCAGAAGAGGCTCTGGAGTCAATGGTTGGAGGATGTATCGAATGAAACTGACATTTAGCAACATATGAGGGCGACTTCAAATACGTCGGCTCTCAATGTCGGGAAGAGATCTCACACGAAACGGTACGTGTACCAATCACTATGTGCACAGTCATGTAAAACCATGGTGTGCTTGTCCACTTGGTTCTATGTTGAGATGCTGAGAGCCCGGGGTGTTGTTGGACCGTCACGTAGCGATCCGCGTGAGGGTCTGCATTCCTCAGAATATTGAGGATGTCCCAGGCGAGACGGCCAGAAAAAGCGTGAACAGGACGGGACGGCTTGAATTAAAGGCCTCTGAGGTCCCCTCCCTCGGAGAGACGCGTATGATAATGCATGTCTATATTAGAATGAGGGGGCCGAACGGTCATTCACTGTCCCTGTGTGTGTGTGGCTGAAGTGGGAATCCGCGGCGCGGATTCTGCTTGTTGTTGTTGCGTTGCGTTGCGTTTCGTTGCGTTGGTGTTGTCGTCGGACCTGGTGCGCGACTCCGCGACCCACCCGCGACTCGCCCGCGACCCACCTACATTGTTTTCACGAACAAGTCGGCGTCTGCGGCGGGCCCGTTGTAGAACTGGCGGGCTTCTTCAGAACCTCGCGGACTGCCGACGTCCACTCCGCTCCCTCACTCTTATCCGCAACTGCGGGTGCTGCGGTATTGCATGCGCCTGTCTCCGTAGTTTGTTGCGCCTCGGACGTGGCCGTCCGCCTTCCTCCCCCTCACAGTACCAGGACTCCCCTTATATCTCCATCGCCCCTCCTCTCCTCTCCCCGCCCGCCGGCCGGGCGGCGTGGACGGCCGCACCCCCCGCGGAGCACCAGGCCTTGAGCATCAGGATGCAGAACAGGGTGCAGGTGAACACGACCATGATCACGTAGACCTCTGCGCCGCGGGCGCCGGACGGAGCCAGGCCTGGGCACCCCGTCGTCGTGGCAGAACTCCCGGCGGAAGGTGCCGAACAAGTCTTGGCCTCTGCCAGGGCCGTCCACAGATGGCGCCCGGGACGCAACGCCGGCCCCGGGGGAATGGTGGGGACCTCTGGGGGGCCCACGTCCGCCGGGCACACTTTTGATCTGCGGGGCGAGGGCGAACCTCTTCCGCTAAACGCTAGGCGGGCGACGCACAGCTTTAATTCGGGAGACAGACGGATCGGGAAGGGTACCCCCCCGAGGCATGAGAGGCCAGCGCCGCCCCACTTGGCGCGACGGAGCGCGCCGAGCCTGCAAGTCGTTCGCAGGGGACTGCGTCAGCCGTTATGATGGGAGGCCCGGGCAGCTCTCCCTGGAGAAAAAGAGAGAGAGAGAGAGAGAGAGAAAAACAAAAAAAAAAAAAAAAAAAAACGGAAGCAAGAAAGACAGAGAGAACAAACAGACAAGCAAGATGTGGTCAACAACTCGATTTCGAAAGCAGGACCTGTCTCATCCCCTCACTGCGGGAGGAGTACAAAGGATGGGGGGCAGACAGCCAAGAGAGGCGGGCATGGGAACGGGGAGGGATGGGGCAAGGGACAGGGTCCGACGGACGATCGGATGACAAAGAGGAGCGCAATGGGGATGCGAGAGAGGCCTTGGCCAGCTGCTCAGTGAACTGGAACGTGGCCGGCGCCGGGAACAGAACCTGGCTAGGTGCCCACAACGTCGACGGCGCCGGCGACGACCCCGCCGCCGCCGCCGACAACGACGACGGGCCTCCTCGGCGTGTGGCAAAGTCTGCCCCTCCCCACGAAGCCTGGTCCGCCGGTTTTGGAACTGCTCTCGGGGGGAGGAGAGCGAGGAGGAGGAGGAGGGAGGAGGAGGAGGAGGAGGAGGAGGAGGAGGAGGGAGGAGGAGGAGGAGAAGGAGGAGGAGGAGGAGGAGGAGTAGGGATAGGAGGAGGAAGAGAGGGAGGGATAGGAGGAGGAGAGGGAGGAGGAGGAGGAGGAGGAGGAGGAGGAGGAGGAGGAGGAGGAGGAGGACGAGGAGGGAGGGTGGAGGAGGGAGGAGGGGAGGGAGGACGAGGAACGGATGACGATGGCCCCTGGTCCGCCAGTTGTGGACGGGTGGGGAGGTCAAGGGAACGGTGGGACTCATCTGGCCCAGAGGAGCTCCAAGACGAGCAAAAATCGCCCGCGGAAATGTCACGTCGATCCACGAGTGCTCTGGAGCGGCCTAAGATAAGTCCAGGGCCCAATACGGCCTCAGCACCGCCCCAGAGGCCACCGAGACGGCACATGAGAGCCCCAGGGGGACTTCAAAAGGGGCGGCAAGAGGCAGCACTCGTTGATTTTCCGTTTGGTTGTTCCGCATGTTTGAGGTGCTTGCCATTTCGATCTCCGGGGTGCGGAAGACATTCCAACAGACCCCAAGGATCGCCCCAAAACATCCGAACGTGTCTCTAATGTGGCCCCCCAAACGGCCTAAGATGGCCGCTCGATGGCCCCAAATAAACTGCCCCAATACCACCTAAGATACCCCCATGCGGACCCTAGGACGAGCCGAAGAAATCGGGGGCGCGCAAACATGGATTCGCGATCCATGGATTTGTCGCGCGGTCGCCAAATCCATGGATCGGGGGAGGTGCCCTCCCCAAAATGCGGCCGGAGCCGCCTCGCTCGGCGGCGAAGTCCGCGATTACCCCTTGAAACGGGACCCGTCGCTGATCCACGCCCTCTTGATTCGTGCTCGTGATCGCCTGAAGAGAGGAAGTCGTGGGGGCCCTGGGAGCCACCCCCCGCAAGATGGCCCCAAAGCCCCACGACATGCGCCCAAGAGAGACCCAAGAGGCCCCCAGGATGCCCCAAGAGGCCCCCAGACGCCCACGAAGGTCCCCAGGATGCCCCAGAACAACCCAGCAGGGACCCTTGTGAGTGCGGTGTTTGGTTCCCCAGCTGTACTCACGGCGTCAAGACGCTTCTACGACAACGCCCCCAGGAAGAGATGGATCCAGGGCGCCCGAGGGGTTGGCGGTGCGACGTAAGACAATGGATGGATGAAGAGAGGGCAGTGTGGTTGAATGTTGCGATCGTGTGGAATCGCACACCGTGAAAACAACAAGTCGTATGTGTATGGGATCTTGCTTATAGCTGCACCATGTCGCAGGAATCGAAGCACAACCATGTGCAACGCGTAAATTCGTGTGTATATCTACATATATATATACATATATGTATAGATGTGTGTGTACGTGTAAGTGTGCGTGTGTGTACGGACAGTGGGTGCTGACCAACGTAAGCAACATCGCTGGACACGTTCTGGGGGTTCGTGACCCGCAGCTTCTGACCATGCACAACCTACACGAACGGTGGGCGCTTCAACTTCAAAACTGAATTCCCGGTTGGCACTTCAATATGCTTGCGGTGTGCGCACTGGCACTCTCGAGTGGCAGGCGGCCCCTGTTCGACACTCGAACTCTTGCCTGCGCTGGTCTGGAAATGGAGCGCTCCCCGTAGTGCACAAGGTCGGGCATGTCCCCCTACGGGCAGACTTTGATAAAAAATTCAAAAAATAATCCAACATACCCCAACAATAATCGAAACATCGTCCCTCCTGTAGAGGGACGTGCCGGACGTAACCGTAGTGAGCAATCACGCTGGCGTGTGCATGGGTGTATGCGGACTGGGCGCACCGAGACTTGAGGGAACGCGCGCCGCCCCGCGCGGCCCCATCATGCCGCGCACCCGCGGAGAGGAGCCACGGGACAGAGCGGCCAGCGCGTGCCAGTGTCTGGCGACGGCGAGGGCGAGGAGGAGGAGGAGTCCGGCGATCAGGACGACGAGGAGACAAGTAGAAAAGGAGAAGGGCGAGGGGGAGGAGGGCGACGAGGAACGAGGATGACGAGGAGGACGTGGCGGAGCACGGGGGCGGGATACGACGAAGAGGGCAAGGAGGACGAGGGCGAGGGTGATGAGGACGAGGATGGCAGCATATCAGACGAGGACGACGAGGGAGAAGCATCGGATGATCCGCTCGTCTTCCTCACAAGGTCGGCCGCGGCAGCCAGCCGTCTTGCGGTCGCGGCAGCCAGCCGTCTGTGGCGAATGGAGGAGGCGGAGAGGGGAGGGGGGGCGAGCAGGAGGCGGGACAGGAGGGCGAGGAGGGTGAAGAGGAGGGTAAGGAAAGGAGGAGGAGGAGGAGGAGGAAGAGGACCAGTGTAAACCCACGGGTTATCAACGATGTTGGAATAAAATCCTTCTCTCCAAACTCCCTCTTCATAGGCCCATACAACGGATCATTTCCATTGAGGGAACTGCCTCGTTGGAAGACAACCGTTCGAAGACCCTGAATCATGCCAAAACATTGCTCTCGGGATGCCGAGGCCGCAGATCAACCTGACTGTTGCGTTCTGACGATCCGGAATCGTGCCAAAACACCGCGAACGCACGAAACTGCTGCACCCTCATAATCCTGAACCCTTCCAAAACACAATATCTGGTACCCTGATCGTGGAAAACTATGAAACACTTGCAACTGCTATTGACGAATGTGCGCGGCGCTGAGGCGGGAAACCACATTTTGAAAGGGAGCCGCCCTCAGTCCCTGAAGCTCCTGCAAATGTTTACCACGAGTGAGCGCGGCGGTAGAGCGGGAACCACATTTTGCATTTTGAACAGGAGCCGCCCTCAACCCGTGAAGCTCTTGCAAGTGTTTGAAATGAGTGTGCGCGGCGCTAAAGCGAGAGCCACATTTTGAAAACGGCCCGCCCTCAACCCGTGGAGCTCTTGCAAGTGTTTGAGACGAATGCGCGCGGCGCTGATGAGAGAACCACATTAAAACAAAAAACACGAGCTGCACTCAATCTGCAAAACTGTTGCCAACGTTGAAGCTTCAGGGTCACAAGTGGTGAGGAAGTCTCAGGCGAAACGCCCAGTCCGCCCTAACCATTGGCCTCAGGGTGCGACAAGGAGACATTCTGCAGAAGGAAAAGGAATGGAGGAGGAGGAGGAGGAGGAGGAGAAAGAGGAGGAGGAGGAGGAGGAGGAGGAGGAGGAGGAGGAGGAGGAGGAGGAGGAGGAGGAGGAGGGCGGGTGGCAGAAGAGGCGGCGGAGGAGGAGGGGGAGGGGAGCGCGGGGCGGGGGGGGTGGGGGCGGCAAAGGAGGGGGCTGGAGGGCGAGGAGGAGGAGAAGGCGGAGGCGGAAGGGGCCGCGGAGGAGGGCGAGCGGCGCCGCTGGACCGCGTGGGGGGGGGCCGAGCCGGGGCAACAAAAAAACGAGGGCGGGGCACCATTCGCACGAGCGAGCCCTTCGCTGTCCTGGGGCGCCGGGCAGGGCTCGGGGCGCGCGGGCGCCGAGGAGGCTGGCCGGGATACGTAGGCGAGGGGGGGGGGGGGGGGGGGGGCAGAATGGCCCGAGGCGCGACGCCGCGGGGACGAGGGGAGGAGAAGGAGGAGCAGGGGAGAGGAGAAGGGGAGGAGGAGGAGGAGGAGGAGGAGGGAGGAGGAGGGAGGAGGAGGAGGAGGAGGAGGAGGAGGAGAGGGAGGAGGAAGGAGGTGAGGAAGGGGAGGTGGCGGAGGAGGAGGAGGAGGAGGAGGAGGCAGAAGAAGGGAGGAGGAGGAGGAGGAGGAGGAGGAGGAGAGGAGGAGGAGGAGGAGGAGGAGAGAGGAGGAGGAGGAGGAGGAGAGGAAGAAGGAGGAGAAGTGAGAAAAAGGAGGAGCAGCAGGAGGCGTGCAGGGGCTGTCGGGCAGAGCGTGGGGATAGGACGGGGGCGGCGTGTGGCGGGGGGGGGGCGGGGGGGGGGGGGGCAGTGGACGTGTTCGAGAGGACCGGCGGCGAGCCTATGGGGGGAAGTGAGAGAGGTGAGGGGGAGACGGCCTTGGAGAGGGCGGCGGGGTTGCCCGGAAGCCCCTCGCGTCTTCTGAGAAGAGTTTTCGGTGTATCCGGGGAAGTCGGAGTCTTAGAACGCTTCTCTGAAGGCCCGAGGCCTTCCGAGCCTTCTGGGAAGGCCCGCACCCTCCCACGGCCCTCCCCGGGCTCACAGCCAGGAGAAGGAGGAGGGGGCCATACCCCTCGTCCTCACCCCCCAAGTGGCCGCCCCCTCGGGCGGGCGGGCGGACTCTGGCACCATCGCGTCCAGACAGCGGTCATGACGGGAAGATGCTCACAGTTTTCGACCTCCGGACGCCCTTGCGGGCCCCCCGGGCCAGCAAAGAAAGGCTCGGGACGAGAGAACGGTCCCCGGGAAAAGGTCTAGACCTCAGGGGAGCCACAGGGAGGACAAAGCAACACAGCGTCGGATGCCTGCGAAAGGGGGCAAGGGTCCAGACCTCGGGGGAGCCACAGCGTGAACAAAGCAGCACAGCGTCGGATGCCTGCGAAAAGGGGGCGTCAAGGCGAGTCGGCCCTCGTGGCTGACGTTCTCCGCGCGGGCGCGGGCGCCGGGGAGCGCCAACGCGGCGAGGAGAGCGGCGGAGGGCGAGGAGAGAGATTTGAGCAGGGACCGACCGCCCTGGCATTCCTGTAGTCCTACCTCGAAATCTTCTTAGAACCCCAACATGTCTTGATAACAGAGAGAGCGTGATCCAACGCCGCTTTACTGTGGAAAATTGCCGCCCTTTTCCTCCGGAACCCGGGCCCCCCCCCCCCCGAAAATCCCCCCCCCGGCCGGCCGGCCCGGCATTCCTATGGTCCTGCCTCAAATGTTCTTCGAACCCCAACATGTCTTAATAACAAAAACAAGGTTCTTAGAACAGAAGCCCGATGCGCTAACGCAAGACAGTATCACCCAGAAACGTTCCAAGAACATCTCGTGGAAACCACAAAAAAGGTTCTTAGAACACTGCTCGGTAGGGCTACAGGCGAGCCAGGACGCGAGCCAGATCGTGGAAACCACAAAAAAGGTTCTTAGAGCATTGCTTGGTAGGGCCATCGGCGAGCCAGGGCGCTCCGCCACTGCTTGAGGAGAGGGCGACGCCCTCTGCACCGACCGAACCTGTCGGAGGCCCGAGCGGACTCCTCCAACCGGCGCCGGCGCCGCCCCTCCCCCGCGCGCCAGCGCCCCCGACACGGCCCCCCGGCGGCGCCCCCCGCGCGCCAGGGAGGGGAGGGGGGGGGCTCCAGCGCCGCCTCGCGACCTCTCTGCGCGGAGCTCCAGAAGTGGGAGCGCCAGGGAGGGGGGGGGGGGGCTCCGGCGCCGCCTCGGCCTCTCTGCGCGGAGCTCCAGAAGCGGGAGCCTCCCAGGAAGGGCACGCGGGCCCCCGCCCCAAGAGGAGGTGCAAACCTGTCGTGGAACGCCTCCCGCTCGCAAGCCTGCCCCGAAGGACGTTCGCTGTGCCGTGCGCGGCGGCGGTTGCGCACCCTGTCACCCAGAACTTCGCCGCCACCGTGCCCCCAGCATGGAGTTCGGGAGCGGCCAAGAGGGGGGTGTCCAAGAGGGGGGGTGCAAGTCATGACCGGCGGCATGTGCACGGCCCAGCGGGGGGGCCAGGGACGCAATGAAATAAGAAGAAGCGCCATGAAATCTGGGGAGATGTCATGGCCCCCGCCATGACATCCCCCCCCTCAGTCATCACCCCCCCCCTTTTCCGCCCCCGAGGAGTGGAGCGCCCCAAGGCTCATGCAGCCCCGGGAGGTAAAAAGATTCGCAAGTTTCTCAAGGGCCGGGGCCCCCAGTTTCCGGGGCCGCTTCTGATGCCCTTTCAGGGCCTCAAAATAGCTGAACACGAGCCGCAGGGAGAGACTCAAGAGGGGCCCAACGGGGGGCTCCGAGAAGGCCCCGAGAGCGCCCGAGAGCGCCCAGAGATGGGCAGCGCTACTGCAGGCCCCCGTCTTCTTGGATCGGGGTCCTCCAGGATGGTCCCAAATCGGCATCCGAGGCACCCCGAAGGACCCAAAGAGGGCCGCAGGAGAGCCCCAACGCACCCGAAATGCTTCATGAGGGCTCCAATAGCACCCGAGACGCACCAGCATGCCCCCCCAAGACCAAGGTGCCCAAAATGCCAAAGCCCAATATGCCCAAGATGCCCAAGATGTCCAAGATGCCCCAGAGGCCCTCAAGATTCCCAAGATGCCTCTGAGAAGCTCTCAGGAGACGCCCCAAGAAACAAAAAGAAGCACCCCAGCGCGTTTTTTCCCTTCCACAGAAATCATCCTTCGACAAGCCTCACACACCTCATGCATCAGAAAGCACAGCGAATCAAATCGCGCTGCCACTAAAATCGTGGGACGAGGCCTGCACCAGGAGGAAGGAGAAGGAGGAAGACGAGGGGTAGCAAGCACCGCGGACGCCAAAAATGGCTGCCGCGAGCAACCGCAACATAAAACATTGGACAGGGTAGTCAAAACCAGCGAAAGGAACGTAACGAAAACAAGCATAATTATGGTGCAGGACACAACCATATGCAGTTGTGGGCACCGCAAGTGTGAATATCTTCTTCGGTGAAGCTCCCTATGGGGCCACGAAGCGCTGCGCTGGGTGGGGGGGGGACGCATGCGGGCGGTAGCACTGGGACCGTCGGTGGAGTTCCCCCTGGGGCCACGGAGTGCTGTACTGGGTGAGTGAAAACGCTAAGTTGGGCGTGCGGGACGCATGCGGGCGGTCCCACTGGGGGCTTCGGTAGAGCTCCCGATGGGGCCACGAAGCGCTGTACTCGGTGTGTGAAACATACCACATGGTGCGTGTTGGACGCATGCTGGCGGCCCCATTGGGGGCTTCGGTGGAGCTCCCCATCGGGCCCCGAAACGCTGTACTGGGTGGATGAAAATGCCAGATTTGGTTTTCGGGACGCGGACGGCTCCACTGGGGGCTTCGGTGGAACTCCCTATGGGGCCAAGAAGCGCTCGCTGTACTGGGTATGTGGAAATGCCGAATTGAGTGTGTGGAACTCATGCGGGCGGTCCCACTGGGGCCTTCGGTGGGGCTCCCTCTGGGGGCCACGAAACTCTGTACTGGGTGGGTGACAATGCCAAACTGGGTGTGTGGGACGCATGCAGGCGGTCCCACTGGGGGCTTCGGTGGAGCTCCTTATGCGGCCACGAGAACCTGTACTGGGTGGGCGAAACTGCCAAATGGGGTTGTCGGGACCCATGCGGACGGTGGCATGGGGCCTTCGGTGGAGCTCCCAATGGGGCCACGAAGCGCTGTATTGGGTGAGTGGGATGAAATTGTGTGTGGGACGTATGCGGGCAGTAGCACTGGAACCTTCGGTGGGGCTCCCTATGGGGCCACGAAGCGTTGTACTGGGTGGGTGAAACTGCCAATCTGGGTGGGGGCTTCGATGGAGCTCCCTATTGGGCCACGAAACATTGTACTGGGTGGGTGCAACTGCCAAATTGGGTTTTCGGGGCGCATGCGGACGGTGGCACTGGGGCCTTCGGTGGAGCTCCCCATTGGGCCACGAAAGCGCTGTACCGGGTGAGTGATAATGGAAAGTTAAGTTTTCGGGACGCATGCGGACGGTCCCACGGGGGCCGTCCCTATGGTGCCACGAAGCGCTATACTGGGCGTGCCGGACGCATGCGGACGGTAGCACTGGGACCTTCGGTGGGGCTCCCTGAGGGGCCACAAAACGCTGTACTGAGTGGGTGAAACACAGGGAGGAGGAAGCAGGTGGCCAGGCAACGCTGTACTGGGTGTGCGGGACGTATGCGGACAGTAGCACTGGAACCTTCGGTGGGGCTCCCTATGGGGCCACGAAGCGTTGTACTGGGTGGGTCGAACGCAGGGAGAAGGAAGCAGGTGGCCAGGCAACGCTGTACTGGGTGAACAAAAAGCATGCGGACAGTAGCACTGGGACCTTCGGTGGGGCCCCCTATGGGGCCACGAAGCGCTGTACTTGGTGGGTGAAGCGCAGGGAGGAGGGAGGAGGGGGAGGAGGAGGAGGGAGGAAGGAGGAGAAGGAGGAGGAGAACGCGGGGACCGTTATTTCAAAACGAGGACCCAACACCACAGGTGGTTGGGAACTAATCTAAACTGCGCATTCGTAGACCAACCAGGGCATCGCCCGGGATACTCGCGCCGAGGTCCAATGCGAGCGGAGGAAAGAGAGAGATCTAGTTAGAGAGAGAGATACGCATGCGGAGCGAGAGAAGGCATGCGAAAACAGCGGCCGAGACATGTTCACAACCCAAGGCTCCCTAAGTCGGCAAACGACCTACAATGAAGAGCGAAATTAGCAAGGAGCGCAGAACCGTCGGCAAGATAACTTGAGATGGTGTAGTGATATGGCACCGAGGCGCCGAGAACAGGCCGTACCCCAGAGGCCGAGCACGGCCAAAAACCATCCGTCGTGACTTTTGCTTCCGACGCGAGGATGTCAGGGCACTTCCAGGTAATCTGGGCGACGACAAGAAGCGAGTCTTACGCGAGCTTGCGCAGCGACCTTCCGCGGCGGCCTACTCGGGCCGCCAGCGCGGCGCGCTGCCTTGGAAACGAAGGCGCCCACGCAACCTGGCGCGGGCAACCTACGCGCCAATGTCGGCGCAACTGAGCCCCTTTTTTTGTCGGCGGCGCGCAAACATGGATTAGCGATCCATGGATTTGGCGCGCGGCCGCCAAATCCAAATCCGCCAAATCCACGCTGCGCGCGTGGTGGAGCACGATCTGCCTCCAGAGCCAGCGGTGCAGCCACCCCAGCGGCTGTCGGCGGCGCGCGCACGCGGGCGGCGCGAGGGGGCCTTCTGAGAAGGCGGGAGTCCCAGGGAAAGGCGGGCGGGGCCGGAGTGCGCAGCGCGCGCGCCGCCCGCGGGAGCGCGAGGCGCTCTGGGGAAGAGCCTGCAGCTCTTCGGGAGGGGCGGGCTTTAGCGCGCGAAGGTGACGATCAAGGGGGCGTGGATTAGCGACGGGCCTGGCCCCCTACAAAGGGGAGCCCGCACGAAAAACGAAAAACAGCCTGAACACATGCATCCAAAACGTGTTCGAAAATAGTCAGACAATGGTCCCCGTACTATTTTTCACAGCTGTGTTTGAACACTCCCCCCTGTAGAGGGACAGGCCCGACTCATCCCCAGGAAAGGAGTGGCCGCTGGACCGCGGGCAGGCCAGCGCCAGGCGCGCAGGCCAGTGCCGGGGGGGGCCCCCTGCGAGCCCGCACCGAAAATCATTCCAAGGCGAGCCCCCACCGAAAGAGGAGGAGGAGGAGGAGGAGGAGGAGGACGAGGAGGAGGAGGAGGAGGAGCAGGAGGAGGAGGAGCAGGATGAGGATGAGGAGGAAAAGGAGGGATGAGGAGGAGGAGGATGAGGAGGAGGAGGAGGAGGAGGGGCACCGGGGCCCGAGAACGGCTCCCGGACACCGAGCTCGCGGCAAAAAGTACGTCGTGATTATGCGCCGATGCGCCTGGAGGTCTGGATCCCTTCCTTCGTTGGCAACTCATGGGAGCCGCCCATGTCGGGCCGGGCGAAAGGGGGGGGATAGCAAAGGGGGGGGTTTGAGAATCAGCTCACGTAGCCGATTCTCCCGGCGCCTCCCGGCGCCGGAGGCGGCCATGTATCGAGGAATGGGCCCCTTGGTGGAGCTGAAACCAGCTGCGTGCAGCAGATTTCGTAGCCCCCCTTTCGCTATTCCCCCCCCTTCGTTCGGCCCGACTTTCGTGTGCCGAGGACAGAAGAACACCCCCGAAGAACATGAGACCCTCCACTGGCCAAAACACGCAGAGCATCCACGGGTGCCCTCCCCAGGATGCACGAGAGCATCCAACCACCACGCAGAACATCTGGATACCCTCCCCGGACCGACCTCGAACTTCTACCCCGGTCCGGCTATAGTCGATGCGTCGCCGTCCTGCGCGCAAGCAGGCTGTGGCCCGTGCTCGCTTTCGGCCACCACTCTTCTCGTGCGCTTCGCTCGGGGCTCTACCCGGGTCAATCCAGACCCGGGCCAGTCGGGCTTTGCAGGATCCCGCAAGGTATCCTGCAGGATCCTGCGCCCGAGCCAGGGTCAGTGCACCCCTGGCCCTGCAGGATCCTGCAGGAGCCGGCGCTCTGGCCGACCCCCGCTTGCATCGACCCCGTCTCTGGAGCCCCGGCTGGCACGGGCCAGCATCGTGCCGTCACCACCCGACGGGGGGGGGGGCCTCCCGCCCAGAAAGGGCGCAGGCAGCGCCCCCCTTTCTGCGGGCCCATGGCCCAGTCAAGCAGGCATCTCCACCCTCCTCGCAGTGCGCGTCCCTCCCCTCGTCCTGTCTATAGGGGGCCCTCCCTTCTACTTTCCCAGACCTCCGACGTTGCGCTTCTTGTCCAAATCGTGGCCCCCCCATGATGGGCGGGCAAACGATAACGGGGGGGACTGGCACTGGTGGGGGGACGTCGACCCGGAATCGGCGATGCATCGCCAATAGATCGGCAGTAGGCCCCCGACAATGAATCCGAACGTTCCTGGGCGATTTGGGGCTATCGGGCCTCTATATCGGCGACGAATTGGCGATCGGGGGTCGATGTGTCCCCCCTATGCCTATGCCGCAATATCGAGGCCCCTGACTGGAGCTCTCGACGCCGTCCCCGAGAACCGTTCTTTCGTCGCGGGTCGTGCCCTGCACGGCACGACCCGCGACGAAAGAGGAGGAGGAGGAGGAGGAGGAGGAGGAGGAGGAGGAGGAGGAGGAGGACGAGGAGGAGCAGGAGGAGGAGGAGGATGAGGATGAGGAGGAAAAGGAGGGATGAGGAGGAGGAGGAGGAGGATGAGGAGGAGGAGGAAGAGGAGGAGGAGGGGCACCGGGGCCCGAGAACGGCTCCCGGACACCGAGCTCGCAGCAAAGAGTACGTCGTGATTATGCGCCGATGCGCCTGGAGGTCTGGATCCCTTCCTTCGTTGGCAACTCATGGGAGCCGCCCGTGTCGGGTCGGGCGAAAGGGGGGGATAGCAAAGGGGGGGTTTGAAAATCAGCTCACGTAGCTGATTTTCCCGGCGCCTCCCGGCGCCGGAGGCGGCTATGTATCGAGGAATGGGCCCCTCGGTGAGGCCGAAACCAGCTGCATGCAGCAAATTTCGTAACCCCCCCTTTCCCAATCCCCCCCTTTCGCCCGGCCCGACCATGCCATCTTGTTGGCTCTTGCGAATCGGCGCTGTTTGACACTGAGTCGACGCTAAGACGACGCTGATTGACGCCAGTCGAGGCTCCTCGGTGCTAAACCGGCGCTGTCTCATCTGTTGCCAGGCGCTGATCGAGGGCATCCGCCGCTAAAGTAGGAATTATGACGGTAAATAAGACGCCCAAGATTTGCCACCGAACCTTCCTCCATACGATAGGTTCGCGCAGCGTCGGCGCGCGCAAAAACGGTTTTGACACCGCGTCGATCGTTCAACCCCGAATCGATCGCGGCCCCGATCGTTCAAGGTTGCATCCCGTCGGGTGCTGTGGCGTGAACGTGGCCCTCGATGCTGCCGCGCCGCTCTCTCGTGCGGAGTTCAACCTCGAACGCCTTCGCGGGCGTCGCCGGCGCGCTACCACCGCATGAGCCTACCGTATTTGCTTCCTCTACTTCCATCCTTCTCGCGCTTCTAGAAGAAGATACAGACACATAAACATAAAACCTTTGGCGCTCCGCGGGAATTTCTTGGACCCGCGCTGGACCCCCCTCCCTGGCGGGCGGAGCGCGCCAGGGGCGGCGCCGGAGGCGCCGCTGGGGGTGGGGCCCAGCGCCGATCCAAGAAAGCCGCGCGGAGCGCCAAAAGTTTATGCTTATGTGTTTGCATTTCTTCTCCGAATGAGCCGACCAAATTCGCTTCTTCTCCTTCCATCCTTCTCGCCCGTGTAGATAGAAGAAAAGAAAACAACATAAACATAAACTTTCGGCGCTCCGCGCGGATTTCTCGGATCCGCGCCGGACCCCCCTCCCTGGCGCGCGGAGCGCGCCAGGGGCGGCGCCGGAGGCGCCCCTCAGGGGAGGGCCCAGACGCCCATCCAAGAAATCCGCGCGGAGCGCCAAAAGTTTATGCTTACGTTTTCGTTTCTTCTTCGAGTATTCGCTGCCTCTCCTTCCATCCTTCTCGCTCGTCCTTCACACACACACACACCCCGTCGCGGGCTCCTGGCGCCCGTGCCAACCGCGATGCCGATGGCTCTGCCGGGCATGCCCGGGTCCTCTGGGCGGCGGCCGCGGGCGGAGAGGGCGGAGACTGCACGGCCGTGCCAGGTCCCGGGAGTGACGGATGAAACAACGCCCCCACCGAGGGGTCACAAGTGCGCGGTTTGTGGATCTCCTGTGAAGGGGAACTGGAACACACAAATAAATACACACAAATAAAAATATCCCCAATATTTTCCAATATTTTCTGGGTTTTTGTCTTCCCCACCACTTCCCATATTTTTGCATATTTTCCTGGGAGTCGACGATTAATTGTGTCTGTGTGTTTCTTTCCCTCCTGATCCTGGGAGCTCACAAAAGGCCACAGAGCCGCCAGGACCTCGCGCGACACGCGCGATGCGCAGGGCTTGCCCTGTCAGCCCGCAGGAGGTTCGGCACGCAGCGCCTCGCAAACAGGGGCAGGGGCGTTTTTGTTTGTTAAGCCCTTGTCTGGACTGGAGAGGCCTGGGATTCCTCGGAGGCGAGCGAGGGGGGAAAGGAGAAGGAGCAGGCCTTCTCAGAGGGCGGCGGGACTTCTCAGAACCCCCTCGCGCCTTCCGAGAGAAGTTCTGCGTCTTCGGGGAAGGCCTCGACAACCTCTTTGAAGGCATGGGGGACTCCCGAGCCTTCCGACAAGGCCCGCCCCTTCTCGCTGTTCCCCCCGGGCTCGCCGCCGAGGGATCGACGATCGTGCACGACGGTGCAGGGCCCGGGGCTGTGTCGTGTCGCGCAGGAGAGTGTCAGCAGGTTCGGAGCGCCTGGCCCATGCCTGAATGAGGGGGCCCTGGGACACACAAATAGACATGCACACAAATGGAAGGATTCCATGTTTTTCCATATGTTCTCGGTGTTTGTCTTTCTTCCCCCCGCTTCCCATAGTTTCCAGTATTCTCCTGGGAAGCGGCGATTCATTGTGTCTGTGTGTTATTTTTCCCTCCTGCCCGAAGCCAGGACGAGCCGAGCCGCAGCCGCTGCGCTGCGCGCAGGGGCGGGTGGCAACCCCAGCGCGCCGCAGCAACGCCGCCACGACCGGCCCGCATTCACGGCATGCTATGGGGGAAGGCGCTGCCCCGACCAGCAACGAAGGGGCTCTGGGACACACAAATGAATACACACAAAGAACTGGATTCCCCATACTCTCCTATATTTTCTGGGCCTTTGTCTCCCCCGCACTGCCCATATTTTGCAATATTCTCCTGGGAATCGACGAATAATTATGTTTGTAGGTTTTTTTCCCTCCTGAAGCAACGCCTCCAGGAGGCCGGAACCCCGCGACCCGCACTGGAAATGCGTGGAGCACGCCGCGACGGTCCACACCAACAACAAAAAAACAGCAGAGAAGGGGGGGGGGGAGGGGGACGGGGGGCGACACCGGCGTCGGACAACATGGGGCGAGAGAGAGTGAGCAACGGAGGGAGGCGGAGGCAGCGAGCGGGGGAGGAGAGCCAGAGAGGGAGAGACAGGGCAGCGGGGTCACCTGCGCGCTTCCCCGAGGAGGGGCTGCAGGCAGAGTCCAGGGGCGCCTGTACTTCTTGACGGGCCACGTCCGAGCGCAAGGCTGAGGCGGCCCGCCCCCCGCCGGAGCGCGGCTGGACTCGAGCCTCGTGCAGCCAAGAGACTATCCCCACTGGCGTGGCCTTGGCCCCGCACCTGGGTGGGGAGATTCGAAGAAGAAACAATACCGTAGGCATAAACTGTTGGTGCTCGCGCGGATCTATTGGATCTGCGCTGGAGCCCCCTCCCTGGCGCGCTCCGCGAGGATCCCAAGAAATCCGCGCGGAGCACCAAAAGTTTATGTTTATGCAGTGCTCTCTTCTTCGAGACGTGTGCATGTCCCTTGGGGTTCTGCCGGGCTGATCCCTAGGAGGGCGGGCTGGCGCGGCTGAGACACCATGGCCCAGTGGGGATGGGGAGAGGGTGGACGATGCTGAGCTCTCCCGCCGAGACCGCGGAGAGCGCCCGTGCCGAGCAAACGAGCAGGCCTGAGCGGTCCGGGCCGTCCGACGCGGAATGTCACAATGCATTTTCGGGGGACCTGGTCTGCCCCGACGCGCCTCCTGTTCGCATCGAAGCCGTGTCGAACCCATGCCCGACTCGTCGTCGCATCCACATCGAATGCACGCCGCATCCGCGACGAGGCTGCAGAGAGCCCGCGGCGAGCACATGTGCAGACACCAGCAGGGGGGACCAGCGAGGCCCCCCCCCCCGAAGGCGCATCGTGAGGAGTGGCATCCTGTGTCAGGGTCGCCGGGAGTCCAGACCACCACCGACGCCCGGAGCCGATGCCTCTCGTGCTCTGGGCGAGGCAGGGTCAGTCGGTATCGAATCGGTGATCGGATCGAATCGACAGGTGCATCGGAGTGAGCTGCATCGGACCCCAAGAACGTCGGAATCGCGTCGGATCGACTTGGCCGAGATCGGTGTCGGATCGGGATGGGCCCTGGCTGGGCGCCTTGTTGGGGAAACCAAGCGGCACCCACACTGCTGCTCCCTGGACCTCTCCCCGGGTGCGTCCTCGCCTGGACTTCGACGCGAATCCAACGCTGGCGACGAGGGCCTCCGAGGGAGCCCAACCTGGCGAAAACGGGGCGCAGGAGCCTCCGACGTCGGGATTTTTGTCACAACCTCGACCCCCAGAGGTCTGGACCCCATTCCCCGGGACGGGCTTCTCATCCTGAGTCGGTTTCTGACGCACCCGAGGCCCGGGAATGGGCCCCAGAGGCCGAAAGTAGCGAAAAACCTCCCGTCGTGATTTTTTCGGGACTCGAAGGGGTCTGAGTCCTCCGCTGACCTGTCCGAGGAGAAAGCCATACCTCGGCCCAGACTCGTCGGCAATGCTCTGCCAGGGTGTCCTCCTGAGCCGCGCCGCCCGGAGCCGCGCCGCCCGGGGCCAGCGTGGACCTCAAGCAGTGGTTTCTAGCACGCTGGGCGGTGCATTCCGCGTGGTGCAAACCATGTGGTGCAAGCTATGCGGTGAGAGGAATGTGGTGCAAGCTGGGTGTGGTTCAAGCTGTGTTGGGTAAGCTATGTGTTGCGCAATCTACACGGTGCAATATCAGATGTGTGATAAATGTAGCATCTTATATATATATATATATATATGTATGTATGTATAGGTGGCGAAGTCTATGGTGTGTGAGCTTTGTAGTGCAAGCTATGTGGTGCAATCCACATGGTGCGATCTATGTGGTGCAAGCTATGTCGTGAAATCGGGGTGGTGCAACCGATGTATGGATTGACAAGCTATGTTGCGCAAGCTATGTGGAGCCAACGTGCTCATCCAGGTGGTGTGAACAATGTGGTGTGAGCTACGTGTTGCAATATATATATATATATGTATGGTATGACCTACGGGGGGGAGCTATGTAATGAAAGATGACCCTGAAAGGTCTTAGAACCCCCTGCCCCCAGTAGGGGGTACCAAATTGGTTGTTCGGCGGCCTTATTGAAGGACTCGGGTCCCAACAAACGGAGGTAACTAACTATTTTTGTCCGCGGCACCCGCCGCGCAACAACGACGACGACAGCTACGACTACGACGAGGAGGAGGAGGAGGAGGAGGAGGAGGAGGTTTTAGGACCAGTCCTATTCACCATCGAGAGGAAGGGGGGGGGAACAACACTGAAGACCCTTGGCGGTTATGTGGTGCACGGGCGGCGACGGGGCGACGACAAGCCAGCCGGGGCGGCGACGCGAGCCTGCCACGAGGCGGCGACGCGAGGCGACGAGCGGCGAAGGGGCGGCGACGGGGCGACGACAAGCCACGAGGAGCCCACGACGAGGAGGCGACGCGCGGCGACGGGGCGGCGACGGGGCGGCGGCGGGGCGCGGCGACAAGCTGGCCGGGGCAACACGCGAGCCCTGCTCCTGAGCAGCAGAACTGAGAGCCCCAAACAGTGCAAGCACTGCGTTGGGGAAGACCAGCGGCAGAGGCGAAGAGGAGGCGGGTGGAGGAGCAGGAGGCGGGCGAGCGACAACGTGCACGCCTGCAGCCAAGGCGCTCCAATCGATGCCAGCACCGTTTGGGCAATGCTAGCGGCAGAGGCGAAGAGAGACGGGTGGAGAAGCAGGAGGCAAGCGAACGACAATGTGCACGCCTGCAGTCGAGGCGCTCCAATCAGTGCCAGCACTGTTTGGGGAATGCTAGCGGCAGAGGCGGGGGAGTGGCGGGTGGAGAAGCAGGAGGCGGGCGAGCGAAAACGTGCACACCTGCAGTCGAGGCGCTCGGATGAGGACCACTTTGGATTCAGGCGCCATCTCGGAGGTCTGCTCCCTCGGCGTGCCCGGCATCGCCACCCAGCGGCCGGGTCGGGGCGCAAGAGTAAGACGTTCCTCCTCCTCCTCCACCTCCTCCTCCTCCTCCTCCTCCTCCTCCGCCTCCTCCTCCTCCTCCTCCTCCCCCTCTCTTCCTTCCTCCTCCCTCCTCCTTCTCCCTCTCCTGTCCTCCTTCACCTCCTCCTCCTCCTCCTCCTCCTCCTCTCTCCCCCTCCTCTCCTCCTCCTGCCTCCTCCTCCTCCTCCTTCTCCTCCTCCTCCTCCTCCTCCTCCGCCTACAGTTCAACGCCGGGCAGTCGCCATGCCACTGTTCGGGTACTGATCCGGATTCGCGACGAGACCGCCGCGCGGTCACGTGCGCTGTAGCGTATGTCCTACACGGGCGTGTGGCCACGCGGATGCGCCCGCCCTCTCTCAACATGCAGGCAGGGGAAGAACACGAGGGCAGGCAGGGCGAAGAGAGCTTGAAACCGGGAGCATGCATGAATCCCCTCGTCCTCCTCCTCCTCCTCCTCCTCCTCCTCCTCCTCCTCCTCATCATCATCATCATCATCATCATCATCATCAGCATCATCATCATCATCATCATCATCATCATGATCATCATCATCATCATCATCATCATCAGCATCTCCCTCCTGCTCATCATCATCCCCCTGTTTCTCCTGCTCATCCTGCTCCTCCTCCTCCTCATCATCATCATCAACATCAAGCTCATCATCGACATCGCCATCCTCATCAGCAGTAGTACCATCATCATCATCATCATCATCATCATCATCATCATCAGCAGCATCATCAACACCGCTATCAGCATCATCATCAACAGTATCATCATCACCATCATCCGGATCCTCGTCCTCATCCCCATCCTCGTCATCATCATCAACATCATCATCATCATCATCATCACCAGTATCATCGTCATTCGCAACATCAAGTATCAACCAATATCATCATCAACAACCAGTACCAAACATCATTACCAACCAATATCACCATCATCACTAGTATCATCATCATCACCATCATCATCAACCATATCAACACCATCGGCATAGTCGTCATCATCGGCATCAGCATCGTCATCATCAGCATCATCAATATCATTATCAACATGGACATACTGATCATCACCATCATCGTCATCATCAGCATCAGCATCAGCATCATCACCATCGTTATCATCACCATCGTTATCATCATGACCATCATACTCATGATACTCATCATCAACATCTTCATCATCATCATCATCATCATCATCATCATCATCATCATCATCATCATCCACCTCTCTTCGGGACGATACGGTTCGGGCAGCACGTCTTGCGTGATGACGGGGTGCGGCTCTGTGAAGCTCTGGGGGCAGCCAGGCCACTCGCTCAGCCTTGAGAATTTTCAGCCAAAGCCGTCTTGTCTGGAAGGCGCGCACAAACGAGTGCGCACAGTCTTGCATTTGAACATGCTCAGGAGCCGTGGTCAAGCTCAGGCCCAGCGGTGCTGAAACCCCGATTGCATCAGGGCCGCATGGCGACAGGTCTGGCCCGACTCCGGAAAAACGGCGTCCTTGGAAGATCGCCTGGTCTACAAAGAGGAGGGGGAAGAGAAGGAGGAGCACGCAGATCGCCAGATACACGGTCGTGGAGGGTTGGTAGGTCAGACGCAGTGGACGGTAGATCGATGGACGGAAGTCCGACGATCTTCCCACAGCGTTCAGAGATCCTCTCGTGGAGCAGTCGTCCTCATCCTCCTCTTCCTCCTCCTCCTCCTCCTCCTCCTCCTCATCTCCCTCTTCCTCCTTAACGCCATAATAACACTTGGTTCCGTCTGGTAACACGGCCTGGGCACTAACTCTGTTCCTTAAGCGTGAGGGAGGCGGGTCCTGAAGAAGGCAGGTCCTGGGCAACGACACTTTCTCCAGGAGCAGCGCTTCGTCCGGAAGCGTCCTCTGACGGCCACTGGGCCCCAGGGAAGCGGCCCCCGGGAGCCTCGTCGGCACGTCGGAGTCGAATCAGATCGGGCCGGAAGGCATCGATGTCGAACGGGATCGGGCGGATCGAAGTGGGACCCCGGGGAGGGCCCGCGGGGAGCGGATCTCCTGCGCCTGCCCGCTGGAGCTCTGCAGCACCGAGGTCCCCGCGTACAGGAAGCTCCTCTTCAGGGCGCCCGTGGCCTCGACGGGGTGACGGCGGCGGGCGCAGGCCGACCTCGTCGTCTGAGGCTCACTCGTCCGACCCAAGGGGGCCTCCTCCTCCTCCTCCTCATCCTCCTCCTCCTCCTCCTCCTCGTCCTCCTCGTCCTCCTCCTCGTCCTCCTCGTGCCCCTCGTGGACTTCGTGCTGGAGCGGGTCGACGACGTCGAGGTCACCAACGTGGTGGACGACCTGCAGCTCCAGGCGGTGGGTTTGCCAGAGCGCCTCACGCGCGCGCTGGCGACTGCTTACCGCCTGCTCCGGGAGCAGCTCACCCTGAACGGCCTGGTGGTGCAGGACGCCAAAACGGCCGTGGTGGCCAGCTCGGCAGAGGCATCCAACTTGCTGCTGCGTCGGTGCCCTTCGCTCCAAGGGCGCGTGCGCCACACTGCTCGCAACTTGGGCGTCGACTACGCCTGCGGGAAGCGGGCTTGCAGCCATGTCCGCACTGCCCGACTAGCCAAGGCAAGGCGGCGCGCGGGCAGGATTCGCGTGATCCGCAAGGGGCGTGGGCGGTGCAGGGCGCTGGTATCCATGGGACTCGTGCCTGTGGGAACCTACGGCGACGGCGTGACTGGCCGGGCGTGGTCCCGCATCGAACCTCTGCGCAGGGCGGCCCACCTGGCCTTGTACCCGCGAGTGCACGGCAGGTCAGCCACCATGGACCTTGCCATCCAGGCTGCGCCGCACACGGTCGATCCCGCGTACGCCTGCACGGTGGGGCCGATCGGCAACTTCGCGAGGGCGGTCTGGGACATGTGGCTGCCGCGCGAGTGGCTGACCAAGCTGGCGTACGCAGCCGACGCGGCGTTCGCATCCAGCACGGACGGCAAGGATTGGCAGCTGGTCAAAGGCCCCGTGGGCGCCGCAGTGGCGTCGGCCAGGCGGATTGGCTGGACGGTGCTTAGCACGCCGTGCACCTTCCGCACCGACGACGGCTTCAGGGCCAACCTCATGGAGATGTGCCCCAAGACGGTCATAGTGCTGGCGCAGCGCTCCATGCAGCGGTGGCTGCTTCAGCGTGCGCTCGCCCGGCACCCGTACATGGCCGACCTCACGCATGAGCCCTACTTGGAGCCGCTGCGGGCGCTGGCCACGGGCAAGGTGTCGGCCGACTGGAGCCCTGCCCACCAAGGGCTCGTCCGTGCAGTCGTCGCCAATGGCATCTGGGATGCAGAGCGGCGCCACGACGCGGGGCTGCAGGCGTCTCCTCTGTGTCCATTCTGCGGCGGCGAGGCGGGCACCCTGCAACACACGGCCTGGGGCAGCTGTCTCACCACGCGCATGTGGAGGCGCGATTATGATCTGCCCGTGAGCCTTCTGGATTCTGCGGCCGCGCACCCAGATTGGTGCCTATGGCGGCATGGGCTCGTGCCCGACCCCCGGAAGTTCCTCCCTATTCCTGCTCCCTCCTTCTCTGCGGCGTGGGACGTGCGCCCCGCCGCTGGCACCCTGGAGGGCGATGTCCTCGGTGACGGATCCGTTTTTGCCGTGCTGAGCGGGGATCCCCTTCTGCGAAGGGCGGGTTGGGGCCTCGCTCAAGTGTCGCCGTCGGGCACGGTCACGGCCCTAGCATATGGGCCCGTGCCGGGGCACGTGCAGGATTCCGAGGTGGCGGAGGGATGGGCCCTTCTGGCATGCATGAAGTTCCGCGGAGTGGCGGACATAGTTTTTTACTCTGATTGCCAATGGGTGGTTTCCTCGTTCGCCAAAGGGCGCTGGGAGACCACTCATGGCGGGTGTGTCGCAGCCGACTTGTGGACGTCTATCTGGGATGCCCTTGACGATTTCGAGTTCCAGGTGCGGGTTTGCAAGGTCAAAGGGCATGCCAGGGCCAGCGACGACGACAGCAGCCCTAACGCCCGCTATCTTCGGCTCGGCAATGCGGAAGCCGACTCTGCTGCACGAAAGGGCGCCCGCTCCCATCCCAGCGACGCCGCTGCGGAGCAGAGGGTGGTCGGGGCATTCAACCTTGCGCAGTGCGTGGGCCGTTTTCTCGGTCGGTTCTTGCACGCGTGGCCGTTCCCACAGCAGGAACGCAGCCACGCTCTTTGCAGCCGGGCCGCTCCTGTCCTCACTGCGGATTTCCCCGCACAAGACGGTAGGCACGATGTGATCAAGTTCTGTGGCAAGTTTCGTTGTATGCGGTGCCTGCGCAGTGGCACACAGATGTCGCACCTTCCTCCTCGCTGCGTCGCGGGTGGCCGTCGCCATCGCCTGTGGGCGGTAGGTAATTACATTTTCTGTGCATCATGCGGGTGTTACTCGCGCGACAACACCAGGGCGCTTGCGGAGGGTTGCCGCGGGGGTGTCGCGAGACAGAGCGCCACCGCTTTCCGCCTCAACCGGTTGTGGGAGTCGCGGGACCCTCGAACCGGTGAGTCCTTGGGCGACCGTCGGCCCCAGCCTTTCGGCGCGCTGGCCATGGACGCCAAATTTGGGGGCCTCGTCGTTTTGCCGGATGGCCCGGGCGGCAGCGAAAATGCAGCGCCGGCATCTTAAGCCGCTCGTTGTGCCGCGCGCCAGGTCTTGTGTTTTCTCCTCCTCCTCCTCCTCCTCCCTTTCCTCCTCCCCTCTTCCCCTAATTAGGTGAATGTCCACGGCGCCAGCCGTGCGTCCCAGGCTTAGCACAGCGGGGTTCGCGCATCGAGCAAAAATCCTCGTCCTCCTCCCTGTCCTCCTCCTCCTCCTCCTCTTCCTCCTCCTCCTCCTCCTCCTCCTCCTCGTCCTCCTCCTCCTCCTCGTCCTCCTCCGGGCCAGCTTCTCCTCCTGAGAAACGACCCAGGAACCTACACCGTGCAGCACCGCTCAGCGCCGCTCAGTGAGGGTCGCGGTGTGGGGCGGAGTGGCGCGGTGTTGCTCTGGCGAGCTGAGAGCCATCCTTTCCGAGAGGCTCCGATGGATCGTAAATGCAGGGGTGCCTAACCGTGTGCGGGCGAAAACAAAACATACCCCTCTTAACCCCCTCTATTGTGAAGAAGGGCGCGGGGGCCGAACTGTATAATCCACGGGGGAAGTTGCAAATCGAAGTTGCTATCGCCCGCACACGGTTATGCTGCGAGTTCATGTTTGTCGTCGTCGGAATGGAAGCCGTCGAACTGGAGACTACGAACACTCTGTGCAGCGCAACTGGACACAGCGCCAGGCAACGCCCAGACCCCGGCAGGACCCAGAGGAGGCAGGCCGTGCAACGCAGAGGCGTCTGCGAACCTGCCGCCCAAGTCGGGCCCTATCAAAATGAAGGGGCCACACGGTGTTCAAGTGTCCGTGGGTGCGCAGCTGAATTGGGGTTCCGAACTGCGAATTGTCCTTGCTGCTTGTCTCGTTGCTGTTCTAATTGTTGTTCTCGTCGCCCGCCCTGTGATGCAGTCGCAATTCCGCCCTCGACCCCGCCTGCAACCACACCCGAGACTAAGCCAACAACCCATCCGCGACCCGCCGCGACCCACTCGGCGACCTACTTGGCGACTCACCCCGCGACCCACCCGCGACCGGCGACCCACCCACGTTGTTTTGAAAAGCTATCGGCGCCTGCGGCGGGCTGGCTGTGTGGACCTATGGGCGTCTGCGGCGGGCTTCATTGTACTGCAATACGATCGGCGCCTGCGACGGACCCATTGACTACAACAGACATCCGCGCCTCGCGGCGGGCTGCTTTCCTGCAGAGGCGCTCGAGCTGCGCAGCTCCGGCAAGGCAGCCTGGGCGCCCCGCAGTCTT